GCCATGGTCAGGTAGGGCTGGCTCCTGCATCACCACCTCCTCCGGGTCACTGGCCTCATACCTGTTGAGGGAGGGCCTCCGAGGGACTCTAGGCCCCTTGTCCCCACAGAAGGCTTCTAACACTGCTTCCAGGGAGCCGTCTGTCTGCCGGGGTCTCCGCAGTAGTGCCTGAAGCTCTGCCAGGCTGGGCAGCACCAGGAGCTGGAGAGAGGTCACCAGAAGGTGCTGGCAGTCCTCCCTCCAGCACCGTCCCTCCGCCAATCCTTAGCCAGGGCAGGACATCCCACCAGGAGCACCTTCTCCCTCTCTTTCTGCCAAAATTCCCCCTTCCCAAATCTTACCCAGGGTGAGTACCCAGGACTAACCCTGTCACCTCCCCATCTGGCAGCCTGCCCCTCTAGTTTCCGGCATGGGGTGGAGGATGAGGGGCCTCTTACTTGCTGGGCCAAGTCCTCTGCTGCTTCCACAATGCTGCCCACTGACTCTTGGCCTTGGTCTAGCAGAGACCTCAGAGACTCCTGGGAAGAAAGATAACAGGATGACAATGACCTTGTTTGAGGTCTCACCAGAGGGCACTTTGCCAGACAGCTTATACTATGGGTACAGACCCCATTTTATAAATGGGGAAACTGAGGCTCCAAGAGGCACTTGGACTTGCTCCAGGTCTCAAAGCCTAGAGTCCACCACCATGCCAGACAAAGCCTGTCCAGGTCCCAGGGACAGCCCAGACAAAAGCCTGGAGGCTGGAATCAACTGCCCTGGGAGGGAGTCACCCGGCCTGAATGGGGCAGTGCCGGGACTTCCTGAGAGCAGGGTCTCAGAGTCATTTCACCCAGCCCCACCTCACCCCTCGCAGCAGTGTTCCCAGCAGCTCAGTAGCCAGGGATGGTCTCTCCTGCAGCTGATCACTTGACTGGGGCCAGACTGTAGGAGGCACACAGGAAGCACAGGGTTAGGCAATGTTTAGCCTGAAATATCACCACCTGTGCCCATTACACAGCCAGGCAGGTGGAGGCTCCAAGCTCACCACCACCTACCGGAAGACCCTGGCCTCCCACTTGCTCCTAGTGCAGTCCTTAACGTGGGTATCAGCTTCCCCAGGCTGGCCAGCATCCTGTGGGCCCTGGGGCTCCCCAGCACAGCACGGACATCTGCCAGGAGCCGGGAGACCCTGGGGACACAGAGAGGGCGGGAAGCAGGGGCTCAGTGGGCATCCCCGCACCCACCAGTGGCCTCCGGACCCACAGCGCTTGCTCACAGGGAGTCATTAAAGTTGTTGAGGACACCCGGCTCCTCACTGGGCGTGTGCCGAGGGAAGCAGGTGTTGTTCAGGTTGCAGATGAGACCCTGGAGCCAGGGCACGGTGCCTGCAGAGGGCAGCGGCTTGCTGGGGAAGTGGCCTGCGGGAATGCCAGGTGTTACCGGCCTTGTCAGAGTCCTCACCATGATCCCACTCAGCCATTTACTGGGTCTGTGCTCTCTGGCGTTTGCTCACTGGGGCCCCTGTGCATAGGGTGACTCCCTTCCCTCCCCGGCTACGAAAGCACCTGGACCCTGGAGGGGGCTTACATGATAAAGAAGAGGAAGAGAGGCCACAACAACTCCACCAGGAGCTGGATCTGGGGTAGAGAGAACAAGCAGGACAGTGGGGAACAGTGGGGAGCGCTTGGGCCGTGCCCAACCTGTCCCAAACGCCTGGGCGTTACCGGCTGTCTCTTGCGATACAGGAAATTCTTCCAAAGCAGCAGCATCAGCTGTGTCCAGAAGGCCATGTTGTAAATAGACAGGAGACAGGACCGCGGGGTCAGACTGAAGAATGTGCTGTGCAGCTGCGGGCAACTCCCTGTCCCTCTCGGAACTTCATTTCTCTATCCCATTGTGCAGAATTTTCTGGACATCTGCTTAGAGCTAGGCAAACAGTAAGCGCTTATTAAAGTGCTTACTCCCCGAAGGGAACCAATGGGAGCCCTGCCTGAAGTCATCCTTACATCTGATTGGTTGCCAGGGCTGTCACTCCCTGTAGTGCGGGTGGAAAAGGCTAGCAACTAATTATTGGGGGGCGGGGCCTCAGCGTAACTCTTTCATCACCAGGCTCTACCCTAAGCCCACTTGGGGGCCTCCAGATCCTGGCCTCCAATCTTATCCTTGACCAGGGGAAGGATCCCTTTCTTCTTCCCCAAGGATAATAGCAAAGTATTTACTGTGAACATTTACACGCGTGGCTGGAAGAGGGCGCAATTCAGGAGCCCAGAGACAGGCAGTCATCCAGCGGGAGGCGGACCCCCGCTCTACCTACCCCTCACGTATTATTTATCGCTCAGGAGACCTCCAAGATCTAGGAGAAGGGTCAGTGATGGAGGCTCCTGGAACCTGTGATCCTGACCCCATCACTTGCTGTGCAGATGGGGAAACTGAGGTCCCAGGGGGACAAGGCGTGGCCACAGTTCACATACAAAGGGGCTGCAGGTGTACCTCCCACCCCCACTCTAGAACGCTCCTTTACCTAAAGCGGGACCTGGGGGAGCGGCCTCCGTTTCTCCATTGGTACAGCGGGGGCAGGTGTGGAGGGGTTCCAACCAGGAAAGGGGCTGCAGGTGTACGTTGGCCACGCCCCTCTCAGGTGAGTCTAACGCCCAAACTCCCCCTTAAAAATTAATGGCCAATTCTGCCGTCCCCCAATACTCATCCGCAGGGAGCAAAGGTGAGTGAGAGCCTGGACTCCGCCCGCACCCTCTAGTTGCCAGGGAACCTGCCTCCGTACCACCCATCCCCACACCCGCACCCTCCTGGGGCTTCCTCTCTCCCGGGACCCCCTCACCATCCCAGCCCCCAGCGTCAGCCGCCTTCGCTCTACCCAACAGCAGACCTGAAAGCGCGGCCCTTTAAAGAAAGGCCCCCTAGCGGGCGCCGGGCCCTGAACTTTTGGTGTCAGCACCTGGGGCGCCCCCTCCCCGCGCCCCACTCCTTATCTTTTATAAACTTACACATGTCAGTTAGCGAACTTCCTAATCTAGCTGGATGTTCTTATCAATAGAGGTCCAGTCGAAGTCTTCATCTGGCTTTTCCCCCCACGCTCCCCTGCAGGATCCGGGCCCTCGCCAGACTCGCCCGATTACCCTGAGACTGTATTTGTCCATCAGGAAAAAGGGGCTTCTAGTTATTCATCATTCATCCCACAAACAATCGTTGGTCCCTGGGATGATACAAGTGATGGCAGAAAGGGGAGGGGGCCCCCAACATTCTAAGATTAGAGTCCTGGGTCCTAACGGTCACCCCGACTGTTTCCCACTCCGTTAAAGTGGGTGTGTTTCACACGATCGTCAAGAAGAAACGCGGTGCTGGGAAGAGTGAGCAATGTGGGGGGAAGGCTCTATGGAGGAAGGTGGTTTTGCAGTTGGGGCTTTGCAGATGAATAGGAGTTTGTCGTCAGGGAGAGAACTCCAGGTAGAGTGAATGCACAAGCAAAAGGCCTGGAGGTTGGATGCTGGCGCACTGGGTGGAGCCCCAACTCTCAGTGTGTGTGTGTGTGTGTGTGTGTGTGTAGGGGCGGGGGTGTGTGTGATGGAGGTGGTGGTTTGGCTTGAGTTCCCACCTCCTTTCAGAACCAGGCAGGAGGTCCAGCCTCTCCCCCTATCCCAGGTCCTAGCCTTCAAATCATTTTTTCAGCCCAGACTGACCTGTGCCCTTGGCCTCAGCTTCTCCTCCCAAGCTGTGAGGACTAGCTATCTGTCCCGTTGTCCCACCCCCCAGGCCCCCCAGGCCCCCAGAAAGTGTCCCAAGCCAACACCTCCTGACTGCCAACTATCCCAGCACCTTCTTTTCCTTTTATTATTTTTTCCCTCCACCCTGCAGCTCAGGGCTCAACATCTCCTGGCTAAGCTGGGCTCTTTGGGGCTACGGTCACCCGTTGGGGACTAGCTTTACCTCTGCAGGCCTCTAACTCCTTGGGGATATAATAGGCTCTTAGGGGCTAGGCCAGTGATGGCGAACCTTTTGAGCTCGGCGTGTCAGCATTTTGAAAAACCCTAACTTTACTCTGGTGCCGTGTCACATATAGAAATTTTTTGATATTTGCAACAATAGTTAAACAAAGATGTATACTTTTGATATTTGCAGGTCAGAGGCGTCATAGGTTTGCCATCACTGGGCCAGGCTCTGCCCTTCAGGATTTGGCTCCGCCTTCCGGAGTAAGCTGGGCTCTTAGGAACTAGGGTGGGGCCATCCCTTCAGGACTATCTTCAGCTCTTAGGGCAGCGGTTCTCAACCTGTGGGTCGCAACCTCTTTGGGGGTCAAACGACCCTTTCACAGGGGTCGCCTAAGACCATCGGAAAACACATAATTTCGGATTGTTTTTGTGATTAATCACTATGCTTTAATTATGTTCAATTTGTAACAATAAAAATACATCCTGCATGTCAGATATTTACATGACGATTCATAACAGTAGCAAAATTACAGTTATGAAGTAGCAACGAAAATAATTTTATGGTTGGGGGTCACCACAACATGAGGAACTGTACTGAAGGGTCGCGGCGTTAGGAAGGTGGAGAACCACTGTCTTGGGGCTAGTCTCTGCCCTTCGGGGCTCAGCTCCGCTCTTCTCTGAAGAGAGCTGAGACTAGCCCAGGAGGTGGGAGCCTCTCTCTCTACTCGTATAAGTAATCAAATGAAGTGAAACATCCCGTAACGGAGCACAAGGCTCTGCAGACTGAGGCTCTGCTGTCTGGGACTGGCTCCAGCTATGTGGGTCTGGGTGGGGCTGCTGGGGCCTGGCTCTGCCCTCCGGGACTGGCTGTGGCTACACTGACTCTTAGGGGCTACGCTGGCTCTTTGGAACTGGTGTCAGCGTTTGGGACTGGATTCAGCTCTTTGGCCTTGACTAGGCTAGGTCCACGAAAACCAAACTGAGAGAATAAGGAGAGAAGAGAGAGGTCTGAGAAAAGTGAGAGGTGAGAGAAAATTGAAAGGATGAGGAAAGAGAAATGAGAGAAAATTCACCTTTTCCTTTTAAAAAGAGGTTTTTATTGCCTTTGGTCCACAGTTGGTATTTCACATTATCTCTTGGTCCCAGGGCTCCTGGGTGGGGCTGGTCCCAGGGAGGGCCTCCTAGTGGGGGTCCCTGTGCAGTACTTGGCGGGGGAGAGGGGACAAGCATGGAAGAGGTGGGGGTCTGGCTTTACCTCAACCACTCAGAACTCTATTGTCCTGTCTGCCTGTTTCCTCCCGGGTGCCCTGTGAGGGTCCTGGGGAAACGCAGTCCCTCACAATGCCTAAAATATCTGGGGACTATGGTCCAGCCCTCTCCCAAGGAACTTCCTTCCTTCCCACCGCACCCCCGCCCCCCAAAAATTACTTTTGTTAAAACTGCCTGAAACTTCTGTTGGTACAGAAACCACAAACTGATCAGCAGAGAAAAGAGAAGAGGGGCAGAAGCAACCGGAAGCATTTGGGGCCAGTTTCCCTCCCTGCACAGGTTTCTACCTCGTCCCCCCTCCCCCCCGCTTGGCCCTAAGCCTGCTGGGAAATTTGCTACCTGGGTGTGCCCTAGGAGGGACCCCCAGCCTATATGCATTTGGATCTGGCTTTCACAGACCCTCAACTTAAACACATAGAAAAACAAGATGAAAACGTAGAAAAACCCCAAATTCCCGACGGGACGATGGCGTGAGGAGACACTCTGCAAGGATGGGGCCTCAGTAGCCCGCCTCCTCTTGGTAGTACGGAGGGTACTCCGGGGCCTTCCCTGGGCTTGGGCAGTCGCCAACTGACCCTGGAGCCCCGTCGGCCATTGGGCCTTGTGGGCAGTACTTGGGGTCGTATATCTGCCGGCCCAGGCCAAAGACCTGGCCGCTCTGGTTGGCACCCTGTGTGTAGCCCATCTGCAGAGACATGGAGGAATTGTCACACTTGTCGGTCCCCAGCTTGGTGTCATAGATGTGCCGCCGGGTCCCAGGAGCCGTCATGCCCACCTGGAGGGGGAAGAGAGAGCATCAGGATGCGAGGGACGAGGGAAACGTAAGGCCCCAAAATTTCCACCCCACCTCCCATCTCCCTTTAGTCACAGGACACATTCCTCTGCGTCCTTCCAAGCCCGGCTCAGACACCCTCCGTTCTGACCCTGCTGAGATGATTCATTACCAGTGACCCCTTCCTTTGGAACCAGGGGTGTTTGGGTCCAGCTCTCCTGTCAGTCAGGAAGCTTCTAGTCTAGAGCCAAGGCCTCCTGAAAACCCGAGGGCTCCAAAACCCCCATCACATGTGACACAGCAGGAAAAGTGAGAGCCACAGGCTCTAAACATCTCAGAGTTGAATGGGCCTCAGGTCAATCCCTTGAGGGAAACTGAGACACAGGGCTAGGTTGAAACTTCCTTGGGGACACATAGTAAGCTGAGGCAGAGACAGAGAAGGCAGGAGGGAAGCCCAGGGTCGGGGCGTCCATGGAGAACAAGCCCAGGTGGGGGCGTGCCTGAGGGGGACTGGGTGAGGCCCACCTGGCTGGCACACTTGTTGGTGCCCATTTGCAGACTGATGGTTGAGTGGTCCATGGGTGGCAGGATATGGTTCTTGGGGTCGTACAGATGCCTTCTCGTACCATAGGCCGTCATGCCTGACTGGCTGGCACACTTGTTGGTACCCATCTGCAGAAAGACGGCAGGAGAGGTCAGGCTGCCCAAAACTCCAGAGGCCACTGAGCAGGACAGGGCTTGGGTCACAGCAGAATCTCCCCTACCCCCGATGGCCCTGGTGCCCACCTGGAGCCCGATGACACACTGGCCCGCCTTCATGGTGGCGTCATCAAAGTTCCGCTCCTGCTTCTCTGAGTACTTGATGCCAATGTCCACGCCACTCTGCAGCCCCTTAGTCTTGGCCTGGAGGGAAGTGGGGCTGGGAGTATCAGGGAGGGGCAGCCTGGACTCCTGAGCCAGTCCCAGAGTGTGTGACCCTGGAGGAGGATTGGGCTGCGACCTGTCCCCTTCGCCTGCTGCCCAATGACTTAGGCGTCAGAGGTCCTGTTGGCCCCCAGCCTTCCTATTGCTCAGGCCAAGCATTCCGGGGGTCTCATCTTTCATCACCTTCTACCCAATTCTCGCTTGGAAACTTGCCCCTGGCTCCTCCCTGATCTCCCCATCCCCGGTCCTCTTGGGGCAGCCCTTGAAAACACCACTCAGAACACCATTCCTGACATGAGAGCTCCTCCCTCCTCCTACATCAGGGCCTTGCTAGTCCTTCCTCTGGAAACACTGTTCCAACCTACCCTGGTCTTTAAGGGTCACTAGGCCCCACACATTGGTCTAATTCTTTTTTTTAAAAAATATATTTTTATTGATTTCAGAGAAGGAGAGGGAGAGAGATAGAAACATCATTGATGAGAGAGAATCATTGATCGGCTGCCTCCTGCATGCCCCCTACTGGGGATCGAGCCTGCAACCGGGTATGTGTCCTTGACCCGAATCAAACCCAGGACCCTTCAGTCCGCAGGCCGACCCTCTATCCACTGAGCCAAACCAGCCTGGGCTGGTCTAATTCTTTCTTCTTCCTCCAGGCATGTCTCAGAATCTACGACTTATAGCTTATAAGAAAACTAGAGGCCTAGTGCACGAAATTCATGCACTGGGGGGCAGGGTGGGCCCTCAGCCTGGCCTGCACCTTCTAACAGTCTGGGAGCCCTCGGGGGGGGGGATGTCCAACTGCCACGGAGACAGGAGAGGCTCCCACCACCACTGCTGCACTTGCCAGCCTTGAGTCTGGCTCAGAGCTTCTGGCTGAGTGGCGCGCCCACTGTGGGAGTGCACTGACCACCAGGGGGCAGCTCCTGTGTTGAGCGTCTGCCCCCTGGTGGTCAGTGCACAACATAGCAACTGGTCATTCTGCCATTGGTCTATTTGCATATTAGCATTTTATTATATAGGATAGGATGACTTGAAGAGGGAACCCTCTTGTAAACTCTAGGCTCTGGGTGCTGAGGAGATGTGCTTGGCCGAATGGTAACAAATGGTTCAAACTCCAGTGAGGATGTGGATGGTGGGGAGGCTGTGCCTGAGCGGGGGTGGGCTGCACCTGGCCAGGGGGCATATGGGAAAGCTCTGTAGCTTCCTCTCAATTTTGGTGTGAACCTAAAACTGCTCTAAAACAGAAAGTTTTGCCCTGGCCAGTGTTTCTCAGTGGTTGGGGCATCACCTGTGCACCAAAGGGCCTTGGGTCCAATTCCCAGTCATGGGTACATACCTAGGTTGCAGGTTCAATCCCTGGCCCCGGTCAGGTCAACCAATCGATGTGTCTCTCTCACATCAATATTTCTCTTTCTCTCTCTCCCCACCTCCCTCCCTTCCACTCTCTCTAAAAATCAATGAAACAATATCCTTGTTGATGATGAACAAAAAATACAAAAAAATTAAAAATTTTAAATATAAAGACTTTTTAAACAAACAAAAATATTTTTGGTTTATAGTCTGCTTCCTCCATCAGACTGTGAGCCCAAGAAGGGGTAGACTGTGTCTGTCAGCATCTTTAATCTGTACCGTCTGCTGTGTGGCTTTGGGCAAGTTGCTGCCCCTCTCTGGGCCTCACCTTCCCTGCCAGAGCCAGGAGAGACACCTGCACCTGTGTCATGTTTCCACTCTCAAACAGGTCATTGGCCTCGAACAGGTCCACAGGGTTCATGCCGTAGCTGACCATGGCCTTGATGAAGTTGGAGAGGTTTTCTAGCTGGGAGGAGACACAAAAGGGGCTGTGAGAGAACCTCAGACGGCCCACAGGTCAGATGGGGTCCCCCAGCCCCATCCTTACTGTACCCGACAGTCCCTCACCTGGTGCCAGTTTTGCATGGAGCGGTTGATCTTGGGGACTGAGCCCGGCTGCAGCTTATTCATGAGTCTGGGGGGAGGGAAAACATGGGTGGAGAGGAATCAGGAACCTCCATTAGCATAGGTGAACCTGAACCTCACAGACCCAAGAGGCTAATTCTCCTCTTAGCCACTTTCCTTGTCAACCTCACTGCTTCTTTCTGGGCCTTAGTTTCCCCTCTTGCAATGTCATCTTCACCCACAAAGCAAAGATGCTAAAGAGTGACAATAATGGGTGTTGGGAGTATAATCCAGAAGCCCTGATTTCTGGGAGTGAATCTGAGAATTTCCATTCAAATGTGCAAACCACGGAATGTCTGAACTACAGTCGAGTAGGATGCAGCAGAGAAAGGCCTCCGGAAACTTTAGAGGCTCTCCCATGAAAGGAAGGGCATAAGACAAGGATGCTTCCTGCTAGAGATCCTCAACAAAGCCATCACACACACACACAAAGGGAAAGACACAGACTCATCGAGGGAAGAGCAAGCAGGCTTCCAACGGCAAGTGGAGCACGACCACACCGTGCGGGACATTCCGGATGACAAGCCTGTGCCAACACCCACACTCACGTGCACAGGATAATTCCATCCTTCAGACCCTTCTGGAAGTCGGGACCAATAGACAGGCCTGTGAGTCCCTCGATCCAGCCTCGGAGCTCCGCCTCCTTCTGCGGGTCATACTTGGACAGAAGCTGCAGGAGCAGAGGGCATAAGATTGGGATGAGGACACACCCAGCAGAAGTTCTCTGAAGCTGCTGATGGGGTGAGGCTGGTGGCTCCATAGGAAGGAGACAGAGGGGTCTGGCCGACCCCGCACTATGGAACTGTGTCCCATCAGGAGGGACACTCACAGGCACAGATAAACCACCCTCCACAGACGCGCTCCTCTCTCTCACTGACAAACTTTGGCTCTAATCCACTTCCAATGGTGCCAAACCCTCATCTCCTGCTCTACCTGCACTAGGGACAAGCCCTTCTGTTTCCACTTCCTGTCTCTGGACTTGCCTGTTCTGGACATTTCACATAAATGGAATCGCACACTATGCGGCCTCTTGTGCCTGGCTTCTCTCACTAGTAGCATGTGTTCAAGGTCTATCCATCCATGTTGTAGCGTGTCAGTGCCTCATTCCTTTCCACGGCTGAGTAATATTCCACTGTGTGGATGGACCACATTGTGTGTATCCATTGACCAGTTGATGGGCATTTAGGCCGTTTCCATCTCTTGGCCATTGTGAATCCTGCTGCTGTGAATACCCATGTACAGGTTTTCTGAAACACCTATTTTAATTCGTTTGGGAACATATCTAGGAGTGGAATTGATGGGTCAGGTGATGATTCTGTTTAACTTACGGAGGGACCACCAAACCATTCTCTTGCCTAGCACTGGCCATACCAGTTACTGGCTCAGGGCTTTTGCATGTGCTGTCACTTTTGACTTAGATGTTTGCATGGCTGGGTCCCTACCTTCCATCTAGTCACAGCTTGAAGGTCACCTCTTTAGAGAGGAGTTCCCTGACCACGCTAGCTATGACGGCCCTCCTCTGGTACCCCTCTCTCCCTGGCCCTGCCTCCTTATTTTCTTTCTGTCTTTTTTTTTTTTTTTAATGTTTCATTGATTTTTTACAGAGAGGAAGGGAGAGGGATAGAAACATTGATCAGCTGCCTCCTGCACATCTTCTACTGGGGATGTGCCCGCCACCAAGGTACACACCCTTGACCGGAATCGAACCTGGGACCCTTCAGTCCGCAGGCCGACGCTCCATCCACTGAGCCAAACCGGTTAGGGCTTCCTTCTGTCTTTTATCTCCACCTTCTGTTATAATATAGCTTCTTGCTTATGATGCATCCCCCACCCCCCTTGAGCTTTGCTGACCAGCTTAGTGCTGTCCTGGATAAGCACTGGATAAGTGTCCTGGATAAGTGCTCCTGGTCCCCCATCAGCACCCGCCCATTGCCCCCCCCACACACACACACCCCGTTCCCAGCGGCAGCAGCCCAGAGCACTGACGGCTGAGAAAGTCAGAATGGCTGAAGCCCAGGGCAGCCCCAAGAAGTCAGGGAGACCCAGGCCAAGATGGGCAGAGTTGGTCAGCCCCAGGGCAGCTCCTTGGGGGTGGTAGAAAGCTGAGTCCAGCCCCCGTTCAGGACCAGACTGTCCCACTGGGTGCATTTTCTGCCCCAGACCCCCTGCCCACCTTTACTCACAGATCCCCACCCAGAGGCCCTATCTTTTCCTCTCCTCCCATCCCCCAGGGGACTGAAACCTTGTGCAGACCTAATTCCTACTCGGCTCTGCCCCAACTCCCCCATGATTTCTCTTCCCTGTACCTCAGTTTCCCATCAGTGTCTGGAATGGTTTGCACAGGGGTCTCCTGAACCCTGGCCTGCCTCCTGGTGACTGCATAGAAACCCTCGGATACGATATGGAATCACCCGCCCAGAGCCCAGGGAGACAAAGGCAGGATCAGCTAACCCGATCCGCTCGGCCCACCCCTCGGGCTGCAGTCTCCTGGTTCCCAGGGCTGGGGGAGCAGCCCAGCCCAGATGAAGCTTTGTTCAGCTTGAGGAATGAGCAGGGTCACGTCCTGATGGCTGAGCCTGAGGCAGATGGGCTGGTCTGGATGCCTGGAACGCCTGCCTGCCCAGCTGGGGCCCGTCCATAATGGCTCAAGGGGGCCAGGGTCCTGGGCAAAGGCGCCTGGCCCTCCCCACAGTGGCCTGAAGCATTCTTCACCACCGCAAACTGCCAGGAATGCAGCCACCGCCTTCTGCGAAATCTGCTAAATTGGGACCAGCTGTTCCCAATGGTCTAAAAGTCAGTCACCCGGCCCAGAATCAAGTGGCCAGAGCTGCTCAGAGGGACACAAGGGACAACCGCCTGCCTCAGGCCAATCAGCTGGGGGTAAACTGAGGCACGTGGGCCAGACAGAGGTCCCTGGGTCTCCCCTGTCTTAAATAGCTGGAAAAGTGGGCAGGGCCTGGGCTCCAAGCCATAGGAAGAGGGACAAGCGACCGTGGCAAGCTGGTCGGTGGCCAACTCACACTCCAAACTTACAAACTGAGGCCTGACTTCAGGGAGCCTCTGACCTTACCGGCCCATGCAGGTATCAACCTGCCCCTGTCTCACCCCATCTCCAAAACTTCCCGGTTCTCACACACTTCCTGGGGTAAACGCCAGGTCCAGGGGGACCAGTGGCCGTCAGGCGCTGGATGCAACAGGTCCAGTTCCAGTCCTGACTCTGCTGTTTGCAAGCTGTGTGGTCCTGGGCAGCTCTGAGCCCTGTGTGCAAACTGGGGTCTTAAAACTGCCTTGGGCGTGTGGGACAGCATGCACAGCCAGTCTGTCAACGTTCAATGCTCAGTCTATGGGACTATTGCTGGAGCGGGGACTCTTGGGGGGCAGGGGGGGCGGGGGGCGCAGAGCCAGCTGAGTGGCCATTCTCTATCTCAGGGCTTCCTAAGCTTCAGCTTCCCCTTTTGTCAAAGGGATGGAGGGAGGCTCCAATGAGCCTGCTGGAGAATGGAGAATTCTCCCTCCTGTCACAGGTCCTAGGGTGCCAATGCAGGCCCCCGTCCGGGGCTGGTCGGACTGTGTCCTCAGCATGCCCAGGCAGGTTTCCTTCCCAGATGTCTGGTGGGAGGATGTATGTATGTGTGTGGGGGTGGGGGGGTGAGCGCCCCTCAGCTGGAAAGGCCCTTGCTTATCAGGCCTGAGACCTCCCCATGGATCTGGGTCACCCCCTGTGCTCCCCACTCCTGAGATGGGCCCGGCTGTGTGACCCTCCAAAAGTGTCTGCCCCTCTCTGAGCCAGAACCACACGAGTTTTCTTAAAAAGTGTCTCCCACTGGCGCCGCCCCGTGTTTCTAGGATACGAAACACACATGTTAGGGGACCCGGGCGCCGTGTGGACCCCTCTGCTGTTCCTTTGTCAGACGGAGACAAAGAGAACATACAAGGGAACAGCCCAAGCAGGCGGCGGCCTCCTCCTCCCAGCAACTTCCCCTTGTCCTCCTCCCAGGTGAGAGGTTGGGAAATTCCTGTGGGGGCGGCCACACCCTAATTAAAAGGACACCTGGCCCACCCGCTTCCCCTCCTGCAGCTTGTGTGGCCCCCAAACAGACGTGTGGCCAGGGGAGGAGGGGCAGCCGGGGTCCTCTCGGAGCCTCAGTTTTCCCTCCGCTGCAGCGCTGGAAGGGCCCAGGGCCGGGGAGGGTCAGACCCAACCGCTCCCGGACGCTGGGCAGTGCCAGGTCGCAGACCTCTCGGCTCCCCCAGAGCTGAGGGAGTCTCGGTGGGCGCCCCCAGAACCGGGATGTTGGGGACGAGGAGGGCCACTTTCATCCCAGGTCTCAGAGTCTCTGCGCCCAGATGTCGGGGAGCCTAGACGGCGCAGGATCCCCGGGGGCGCCCCTCACTCACCCGGTTCTTGACCTCAGCCGAGAGCCCGTACGAGGGCCCCTTGTTGAACTGCGTGGAGCTCATGCCGGCGGCGGCGGCGGCGGCCCGGCGGACGCCTCGTTCCCGGGAGTCCCGAAGGGAAACTGAGGGAGGGAGGGGCGGGGGCTTTCGACGGCCCAGGCGTGGCACGCCCGCCCTCTCCCTGCTGCGGGGCCAGTAAGTGGCTCTCGCACCCTTTCTCGGCCTCAGTTTCCCGTTCTGCAGCGATGGCAGACGGGATTGTTGGATGGAACCCTAGTTCCCTTGGTGCACGAGTGAGGACTCCTCCCTGCCACTTAGAAGCACCTCCCAATTTGCCTCCGTCCCGGAACTCCACAGCTGGGTGGCGGACAAGGGAATTAGAGGAGTCCTCAGAAGAAGGGGCCATTGGAGCTGGGGCTCTGATGGATGAGTAGGAGTTTGCCAGACCAAAAGGGATTCGTGTCCCTGGCAGAAAAAAAGGTGCAAAGGACTAGAGCAGTGGTTCTCAACCTTCTGGCCCTTTAAATACAGTTCCTCATGTTGTGACCCAACCATAGAATTATATTCGTTGCTACTTCATATCTGTAATGTTGCTACTGTTATGAATCGTAATGTAAATATCTGATATGCAGGATGGTCTTAGGCGACCCCTTTGAAAGGGTAGTTTGATTGCCAAAGGGGTCTCGACCCACAGGTTGAGAACCGCTGGACTAGAGGGACCATCAGCGAGCATGTAGAGATCAATCAGATAGATTGGGGGATGAGGGATGAGAAGGGACCTTAAATTCTGGGCTGAGGAATGATGGGGGATGGAGGGTGTATGAAATAGCAGAGAGTTGAAGTCAGGAGATGTCTTGGGGTTAAGGCCGAGGCTACCAAGCTACCAGACCAGGCACACAGTTGGTGCTCAATAGGTGAGGTTTGCTTGTACAGATAAACCAATAAATTAATAAATAACAGAATAAATTAATTCACTTATTCAGTAATTTGTTCATTCATCAAAAGTTCCGTGACATGGCCTCTGGGCCAGTTCCTTGCTAGGTAATCCTGGCTTTCAGGAGACCTTAGCTCCTGCCCATCCTTGGGAAGACAGAGCCAGGCACCAAGTCCCCTGCCCCATGTGAACAAGCACAGTACAGAAAAAGGGGCCTGGGGTGGAGGAACCTGGAAGGGAAGTCGAGGCTCCACTGGCTGGACGGATCAAGAAAAGGTGCACATAAGAGGAGACATGAGATGGGGTTCTGAAGCATGTATAGGAGTTTGACACATGTGACAAGTGGCTGGTTGAACTCTGTGAGGGCTCAGAAATGACTTACCGATGCCCCTTCTCTGGCGAGCACTCATCGCTGGCCCCCCACTCTCTTGATGTTTGCTTCCTCTTTCTCTGCCTGTCATTCTCCCATTCCATCCATCTGAAGACGCCTTTCTTCAGGGTTCAAGTCCTAGCTGGATGGTCTTGGGGGGGGGTCCCTTCCCTTCTGGGTCTCAGTTTCATCATCTGTGAAATGGGGACCAGTGAAAGTGGGAGGCTCAACAATGAGGCAATGCAACTCAGGATGGGAACAGTGCAGTTTCTTGGTGTCTAGGTGGGAGCTAGGAGGGTGGTAGGGGCATGGGGTGTTCAGGTAGATTCTATGCAGGTCCTGTTGGGCAAGAGGTGGCCCCAGGGCACTCTGGAGGCACTGTGAAGAGGTCTCAAGCCAGCCTGCAGAGGTCAGTGGCTGCTGGCAACATGGCCATTGGTTTCCTTGCCATGGCCTGGCCCCTGGTGCTTGTCCGGGGGTCCAACACTTACTCCCTAGGGATACCGTCTGAGTTGGGGGGTCTCTGAGAAGTTGCATGTGACCCCCACCTATGCCTACAGCCCTGTGTCCAGCTCATGCCAGTCCAGGCAGGCATACTCACAGGACCGCAGCCCGCCCACATCCTGGGGTGCTGGGTCCCCCTACAGCATTTCTATTGGGGGGGGGCAGTGGGGCCTCCATAGCGCTGGCCAGGAGCTGAAACAGAAACAAGAAGACTGAGCCTAGATGGCTCCAAACCCTAGAAGCACCTGCCAGCCTGTGCGCCTGCTGGAGACCCGGGCCAGCCCTGCAAAACCACCCAGCCGCAGTCTCCCACCTGTGAAATGGTCTGCTTCCCAGGCGTTGGTATTCACCACACGGCCCCAAATATGCCTGGGACATTGTGCCACATAAGAGCTGGGCACCTTAGCCCTGGCCAGTGTGGCTTAGTTGATTGAGCATTGTCCCCTACACCGAGGTCACCGGTTTGAGTCCTGGTCAGGGCACATGCCAGTTGCAGGTTCGCTCCCCAGTATGGGGCATGCAAGAGGCAGCTGAGGGATGTTTCTCTCATAGATGTTTCTTGTTGTGTTGTGAGTGGGAAACACGCCAGATTTCAAAGACGTGGTCCAGAAAAAGGTGTCACAAACTTCATTCGTCATTTTTCATATTGATCACATGCTAAAATGATCATATTTTTGAGATATAGAGTGATGTGAAACATATTACAAAACTTTTCTTAATTCTACTAGAACGTTGAAAATTATGTGTGTGGTTTGTCTTTTATTTCTACTGGCCGGGGCTGTTTGGACCCATAAGCCAAATCCAGATATTGCCTTTTTTTTTTTTTTTTTTTGGTGGCCCATGAGCTAAGAATGGATATTACATTTTTAAGTGGTTGAAAAGAATTTTTCTAAGTATATTTTTATTAATTTAAGAGAGGAAGAGATAGAAACATCAATGATGAGAGAGAATCATCAATCGGCTGCCTCCTGCACACTCACCACTGGGAATTGAGCCCGAAACCTGGGCATATGCTCTGACCAAATCAAACCATGACTTCCTGGTTCATAGGTCAATGCTCAACCACTGAACCACACCAGCTGGATGAAAATAATTTTTTTTTTTTTAACACCAAGCGACTTACAGGGCTACTGCTTCGAAAATAATTTTTTACAAAATACTATTACACAAAGCTTGGGAATCACAAACTATTTAAATTTCGGTGCCCTACCCCCCAAAAAATACAAAAAAAGAAAACCAAAACTAACTAACTAAAATAAATAAATTTCGGTGTCCAAAGTTTTATTGGTGCCCAGCTAGTTGGCTTATTGACTCTTCACCTTCAGCATTAACCATTATTGCAGAACTGGGTGGTCTCTGGACTGCAGAGTTGAAATACTGACTCTCTGGCCTTTTACAGATACGTTTGCCAACCCCTGGTCTAGGCTCTTGAGTCTCCCAGAACCCTAGAAATCCAGACTCAGACCTCCCATACTTTGAAATCCTGGGGTTCCAGAGCGTGATGGCGAACCTTTTGAGCTCAGTGTGTCAGCATTTTGAAAAACCCCTAACTTAACTCTGGTACACACAGAAATTTTTTGATATTTTCAACCATAGTAAAACAAAGATTTACATTTTTGATATTTATTTTATATATTTAAATGCCATTTAACAAAGAAAAATCAACCAAAAAAATGAGATCGTGTGTCACCTCAGAGACACGTGTCATAGGTTCGCCATCACTGGCTTAGACTATTTATATTTCTATACCTTGAAGAATGGGGGACCGGATCCAGACCATATTAATACAGTGAGTATTGAAATAAAGCAGGTAATAACCTTTCTGTTGATGGAGGGTCTTGTTTTCCATTTGTAAAAACTGCAACACCTGTGAAGCACAAGGAAGTGAAATGCAATAAAATGAGGTGTGCTTGTAATTACAGGACCTCTGCCCAAGGAACTCAGACTGATCCTATATAATAAAAGCCTAATATGCTAAGTGTCCAGTTGTCTGGTTGTCCATTAACCAATCAAAGTGTAATATGCTAATGATATGCTAAGTCCTCTCAACTGCTCACTATGATGTGCATGGACCACCAGGGGGCAGATGCCCTTACCAATAGGTTAGCTTGCTGCTGGGGTCCGGCCTGATCAGGACTGAGCCAGACGGGCTGGACATGCCCTGGAGCCCTCCCATGGTCCCTCCCCAGCTGGCCAACCTCCCGAGTTCCTCCCCAGCCCCGATCATGCACCGGTGGGGTCCCTCGGCCTGGCCTGCACCTTCTTGCATTCCAGGACTCCTCGGGGGATGTCGGAGAGCTGGTTTTGGCCCGATCCTGCAGGCCAGGCCGAGGGACCCTACTGGTGCACGAATTTGTAGACCTGGTGTACAGATAAACCAATAAATTAATAAATTACAGAATAAATTAATTCACTTATTCAGTAATTTGTTCATTCATCAAAAGTAGTGCCCCTGCCCCCAGCCCGCCTTTCTGTCCTCACCTGTGCTCACCCCTCAGGCTCCACCTCCTTCCCCACAGCCGGGCCTGGGGTGGGGGGTGAGCCCCAGCCTGGATGTCAGGTCCCTCTGCCCCCGACCCCCGCGGGGGCCTATGGAAGACTAGCGTGTGCGCCCCAGAGCCTTCTAGGCGCCCCCCAGCTGTCAGCAGGGGCTCCTGGCCCCCAGAGGAAGGGGGGCTAGTCTCCAGCTTCTCTGCTTCTGAGCTGTCATGTCACCCAGTGCCCCCAGTTAGACAGAATGGATCGGCCATAATAAAGTCTCTTCAACAAGTAAAAAACAAAACAAAACAAAAAACCCAGGCCTCGAGTAGAAATATACTGATATGACTCTGTGTAGTTAGTTCTCTGACTTCAGGGTCCCTGCCTTGGAGCCTGGGTTCAAATTATGACTGCCCAGCTGGCTGTGTGGCCTTCTGCAATTATGCTCCACCTTTCTGTGCCTCCCTCTCCTGTCTGTAAAGCACCTATTGCCCGTAGGACTGACATCTCTGGATCCAGCTGTGTAAACCCTGAGATAAAGGCTGTTGGGTTACACATGTCAAAATCTTAGGGATTTTGGCCTCAGCTAGGGAACCTGGCAGGGAGGTCTTGAGCTTCTGCAACTATCCTGTGCCCTTGAACCCACGGCACCCTCTGATCCAACCAGGCTGACCTCTGGGGAGACTGCAGAGGCTGGAGGACCAGTGGTTGCAGGGGCTTCAGGTGCTGGGCAGGGGTCTGAGCCCAGAGATTTTTTAAAATATATATTTTATTGATTTTGTACAGAGAGGAAGGGAGAGGGATAGACAGTTAGAAACATCGAT